CAATGCTATTCCGCTCCAGCCAGGCTCACTGTGAGCTCCACTTTCTCTCTCTGTCCCCCAATTGCTTCTATAGGGTCAATGGGTTTGGAATAAGGATCTGATCTAGATTTACTCACGGTATTTAACTGGTGTATCTTTTTAAACTAGAAGGGTTTTTGATTTATAAATAATTCAAGGACCTAAATGAAAACCAGACCTTTATTTTCTGTAATAGGTGTCCGGTGTACTTTAGCCAATGTCTTTCCAATATTACAAAGAAAGGAGTCTTTAGTGAGAGAAGCTATTTTCTCCACTGAAGCTGTCCAGGTGGGGTACACACGGTCCCCATCACAGGGGCGAGGGGGCTTGGCCCGAGAGAGGCTCAGAGTGGAGGGCGTCACCTCGGGCGACTTCTTATGAGCACGGTAGGCAGCTGAAAAGTACACAGGCAGCTATTATTTGAAATAACTTTCTTTTCAATCTACCAACACTGCCTGATGCTTGCCGTAGACATGACGCTGGATGCCTGAGGTAGCTTAAGCTCCAGTGATGTTCTCAGGATATTCTTGCTTTTGAGGAGAAGATAAGAAAGCCAGGTAAGGCCTGGCAGACCTGGACAGTGTGACTGGGGGTGTCATGCGGAACCCCTAACAAGCTCCTGCTCAGAAGGCAAAGTGCTGACTCTGTGCCCACATACAGTCTACGATACAGAAAGCAGCGAACATCAGGAGGCGTACAAAACGTGGACGCTCTACCCAGCAGAGAACAGAACTAGAGCTGAGCTGAGCTGTGCTGCCTGAGGCTCATGACAGTCTCTGTGGCCCCAAGTAAAGGTTCCACTTTCTCTTCTGGAAAAACAGAAATAATGAGCCTAGCAGCTCTAGGCAGACTGGGTGAGAGCAGGGACAGAAGGACAAGCCTTGGGCCCACACCCTAAGGGTGCTCATCAGTGGTGCTTCTCCCTCTGGGACAACCACCAACAGAGCTCTGGGGGCAGCACACCCCCCCACCCCGCCTGAGCCTCCAGGTGGGGTGGTGACCCTGGGGAGGAGACACACTGGGACTTGTACTGCTCCCCCTGCAGGGAGGAGTGCTGAGAGGAAACTAAGCGTTAGCATTCACAAAAGTTCCTCGAGCAGAGCTCTAGAATTAACAGAGAACCATTATGCTTGACATATGGGATCGGAAGCAGCACGTACCATAAACGACTGTGTCCCACAACCCTTTCCTTGACAAACAACCTTGTCTTTTCATCTTTCTCTCATTCTTCCATATAATTAACACACATCATGAAAAATTCTAGGAGGCAGCTTTTGCTGTGAGGCAAAACTCATGAGCAGGCATCATGCCCAAGTTTAAGTGCAGGACTAATTAAGAAAAACTAGTATAGACTTCACAACCCTCCTCCTGAGGGCTGTTACTCTGGTTACCTTGCACACTGGCAGGAACACAAAGAACACACTTTCACACACAGGATCACTTCCGCTAATGTGTGAATGTACTTCTGAAGTCACCTCTGGGAGAGCTGCAGGCACAGCAGGTAGACATCTAGAATGACAGCCTTTTGCTTTGGGCCATCATCTGCAGGCCCCCACTGACTCCATGTGTTCAGGTGTGTCTGGCACGGGCCGGGTGCACATGCACTGCTGCTGTCAGTGCTGGGGAAGCCTCAAGTCATGTGGAAATGAGAGCTGGGGTGGATGTCTTCACAGTTCTCTAAACTTTATCTGAAAAGTGAAGCTCAACCAACTGGCAACTCAGCAAGTATTTGTGAGAAAACAAAGGCTCCCATGATTACATCTCCGTATCCCAAGAAAAACGGGTTTCCCAGCAGGCTTTCAAACACTTACCAAGAGGGGAAGTGGACGGGTGACTAGAACAAGGTGAGAGCAGCTAAATGGAAGAGGTTCCAGGCTGCATGGTTCCTCTCTGGCCCTTAACATCTTCCTTCCTGAGGCAGCTGTCTCTGCCTTAAGTGCAGTGTCCAAAATGGGCGGGTGTGAGCTCCAGGGTGGGAGGAGGCCTGGCCACCTACACCAGGGCAGAGGCAGCGCTGGAAGCCTCAGGAAACTGCTCAACATGTCAAGGATTTGCCTAGAATGGGGTCAGTAACCCATGGCTCCACCTGTTTCTGTAAATAAAACTTTACTGGACCACAGATATGCCCATTCATTTACTATCTATGGCTACTCTGGCTTACAAGACAAAAATATTTACAATCCAGCCCTTTTCCAAAAGTTTGCCAATTCATCTAGAACCATGCTATCCAGTACAGGAACCACTAAACACGTGTCTCCATTTAAGGTTAAAATAACTAAGACCAAAAATTCAGTCTCCTAGCTGCACACTCTAAGTGCTCACCAACAGTCACGTGTGGCCAGTGGTGAAGGCAGCAGGCAGCACAGAGAACATCCCCACCATTGCAGACAGTGAGTGCTCTTGGACAGAGCTGGAAATATAGGATTGAAGTCACCAAGCTAAATTTATAGCCATCAGGTTCCTGGTCACCCTCTCTTCTTCCACAGACAGGAAGGCCTGCACTAAGTTAAAATAGATCCCTTTTACCCTTCAACTTTTCAGGATATGCCAATCACCATGCTAATCACAAGCTCACAACTACTTGGTAGGCAGTAACTATCTTGTGGTTTCAAGAGGGACCACAAGTCACTGTCCCCAGCCCCTGCCCCAGGGACTGTGAACTCTGAAGGCCGGGGCACAGAACAGGCTTGTTTCCTTGCTCTCCTTCCAGGTTAGAATCCTGCCCAGCACATAGTGCTGCTCAACAAATATAGTATCTGTATTGTAAAACCAAAAGAAATGAACCCTGGTGCCAAGCTTTCGTGCAAAAAGAGGCCACCGAACCAAACAGATGATGGGGCAATAGGGGAATCTTACTGCAAAATGTTCTATAGTCACAGTTTCTGTTTTAAAATGAGCTAAGGAAAAAAAAAAAAGATTCCAAACAAAACAAAGCGAAACCAAGAGTCTGGATGTGGATTACACTTAAGGGCTCTGTGATCTTGGGGAGTTGCATTCCCTTCTGAGTGCTGGACCCCTCTTCCGGGCCAAGCCCTCTGTCCCTCTCCTTCCCAGCTCTCTCCAGAGCCCCTGCCAGTGAGGCTTCTTCCTCTGTCCCTCCCTGCTGGCTTTCCCACTGAACCAGCTGAACCTTTGGGGCAGGGGCTGCATCTTACTTTTAAAGGCCCTCAGCTCTTGGCATACAGACGCTACTAACTGCAAGTTAAATCTAAGAGCACAATAAATAAAACACATTTTGCTAAGCCTCACACTTATGTGCTTGCTCCAAGAAGTCCTTATAAGTAAACTTTTTTGGACTTTGGAAATTAGAAATTATCCACACTGTTTGAAGTAGAAGTTAGTCCTAAAGGTTAATACCTTCTTACAAACTCAAGTCAGGTTAATACACTTTACTATATTTCCTTTTACAATTACACAGTGAAAAATCCAACAGGGAAAAGCCAACAGGGACAAAAATCCAACCTGGCATAAAAGGTCTTGGGATTCACAAGTTATGTATCTGATATAAAAATCAAATGATTCTATTTCAGGATAACTTATAATTAAAAGAATACATTAGCTGCCTAATAAAGACCAGTAGACTTACAAACCCAAAAGGGCTGCTTTTTATAAGGCCCCTTACCTGTACACAAATTTACATTTTATACAAAACCAGATTATTTTACTGTCCACTAGTTAGTGTTTGACAATTAATGAAATCCAAATAGTTCCCACTAGGGTCCTGAAGCTAAACACCTAATACTATCTGTAGTCAGCCTTCCTGGGTGCACAACCAAACAATAAAGTCATGGCCTGCCCTACAATTTTGTCATTGTGGATGTTGACTTCTGCCTGCCTTGTCCAAGGGATTTGAGAGAGAAAAAAGGCATGAGTTTCCTCCCAACAGATTGGGTACTTGTGTGCTTCTACTTCCTGGGTACACACCTAGGCTCTGGAAAACCTTTTCCGGCATTTTAGTCACAGGGGTTATTAGTCACCTAGAGGTCCTGCGCCCCCCGCCCTGCCTTGCCATGGGCCCATACAGCAGACTGTACAGGGAAAAACATCCTGACGCAGCACAAGTTGTGATTATGATACATTTTTAAGTGATCTGATGAAGATTAGCACCCATTTTCTCTTTTACCCAATAATGAACAAAAATTTACATAACAAATATCTTAAAATACCAACCCCAAAGAAGTATATATTATCTTGATAGCTACAGTTCAATGTAACTAATAGTAAGTGTTTCACAGTTCAATTTTAAACCTCAAATTCATATAAAGTGTGAGAGGCAAACTTATTATTAAATGATCTGTATACACACTGAAAACTTCTTGCCATTTAAAATTTTAATGCCAAACAACACACAGAGCCTATGTCAATGCAAAATATTCCTTAATACTCTATGAAAATACTAACATTTAAAAAGTATGACCCCGATAGATTGCAGTGTTTCAAGGCATGAGCACATTTCTCTTTCCTTTGGCAAGATGGAAAAACCTTGTAAAGGAAGTTCTTTTCTAATCAGTTCTGCATTATTTTCTGACTGAGATTCATTTTTAATTCAGAGACATGTCCCCGGCAAAACCTTTGCAGTATTAAGCAACACGATGTAACAGAAACTCAGCGTGCAGATAACTTGGCCAGGCTCCGCTGGCCCGCCTCTCCTTCCTACCCCCACCCAATACCTTCCCCAAGCAGTGACTTCACATCCTTTGACATCAGCACAGTTCCAAAAGGGGGATGGGAGAGCGAGCAGAAAGCAGAAAAACCAGCTTTGAACTATGCATGCAAGGCCTCTCTCAAGCCTCAAATTCTGTAAGTAGTTTGTAAAATGCCTGCCGACTGGCAGTGACACTCCCCACCTGCTCTGGTTACGCCTGCGGCGGAGCGGAGTGAACTGTGCGGAAGGGACTTCCTGCTTTTCCTATCTGAAGCACAATAGACATTTATTAGCTGCCCATGGAAGGCTCGGGTCCGGGGAACACACAATAACTCACCTCGAATATGGAGCAGGGCCACGGGCTGGAAAGGCCCATTGGAGTTGGCCGCATCCACCACCATCCCGCTGCCCGCCTTGTTACATGTCAACATCTAGACTCCAGCGGGAAAGGCAGTGTACCCCTTAAGGCAAGAAACCAGCCTCCATTTTAGTTTAAAAAAAAGACAAACTGAAGCTCTCTGCAGCTGGAGGGAACTGGCTGGCTTGTGATGTCAGCGGGCACGGAGCTCCCTGATTGGCCGGAAGCTGCAACTTAAAATGACACTGAAAAAAACTGCAAACGGAAAGAGCGTTCTGTTTGGCTGTCAGTGTGCATTAAAAACCTGGGCATTTTCGGGCTTTCTGCAGGTTTCATTCCTCAGTAACTCTGTGGCAAAGATCCCATCTCTCAGGGGACAGAGATGGAAGCCACAGGCCCCCTGCTGCACTAAACCGATGCCTCAGAACTTAAAAAAAAAAAAAAAAAAAAAAAAAAAAAAAAAAAAAAAAAAAAAAAAAAAAAAAAAAAAAAAAAAAAAAAAAAAAAAAAAAAAAAAAAAAAAAAAAAAAAAAAAAAAAAAAAAAAAAAAAAAAAAAAAAAAAAAAAAAAAAAAAAAAAAAAAAAAAAAAAAAAAAAAAAAAAAAAAAAAAAAAAAAAAAAAAAAAAAAAAAAAAAAAAAAAAAAAAAAAAAAAAAAAAAAAAAGAGGAAAAGAAAAAAATGTATACTTAGGATCTTCATGAATCTTAGATTTTAGCATTTCCTGGGCTGGTACCCCAAGTTCAGTGACAGATGCCCACTCGTCAACCTTCTACCTTCTAGGTCTACTTCGTTTCACATCTGCACCACATGTAGCATTCTTGCAACCCATATTTGTATGTATTTTAATTTTATTTATTTATTTTTGGTACCAGGGATCGAACTCGGGTCCTTGTGCTTGCAAAGTAGGCGGTGGAACCACTGAGCTAAATCCCTGGCCTTGTGTGTATTTTTAAAAGCAAATGGCTATTTAAATATTACACAATTCTCATTCATTAGTCTGGACTTCTGCTCAACTTCCACTCTCAGTAGTGCAAATTAATGTGTTTAGAATCCTCAAACATTTTTTTCCTTGAGACCTAGGTTTTCTGGAAAAAATAAATAATAAATTACATGGAAAATGAAGGCTGCTTTACAGTCAGCAGCTAGAAAGTGCTACAGACGATTTATACCACATGGCCTTTGAAGTGCAAAAGGGATGAAGTGAAAAGCAGCAGGTACTTCCGTGAACCTAAGATATCAGTATGCTAGGTACTTAAAGTTTTAAATACTTTGTTTAAACGTAATGTATCTCACCTATTTTTTATTACGCTATTATTAAAAGTTACTACTCACTGGAGTGTGAGGCAGAAGGACAGCAAGTTCCAGGATGGCCTGGGCAAGTTAGCAAAGCTTTGTCTCTATAAAAAAATGACAAAAGGCTGCAGATGTAGCTCAGTAGTACAGTGCCTATCTAGCACACATGCAGCCGCAGGCTCAACTTCCTGCATCACAGCATGAATAAAGTAAAAGCTACTATTTAGATCTTAGTTTTCCTTTTTTTTTTGGTACCCGGGATGGAACTTGGGCCCTTGGACTTCTGAGGCAGGTGGCAGAACCACTGAGCTAAATCCCTGGCCCCTAGGTCCTACATTTCTATCTTCAGAAAAGGTTAATGTAAAAAGCTATTCCAAGGAGAAGGGCTTCAGATCTGGAGAACTGGAAGAGTGGCAGTGAGAAGATTACCTCCAAAAGGAAACATTACTACTAGCTCCAAAGAAAACAAGTAAAGACAAGAAAACTATCGGGCAGAGCTGGAAACAGTTCTTCATACAGAGTTTCCTTGCACGGTGGCTCCTTCATCATTTCTCACCCATGCCCCGCCTGTCTGGTGTGTGTGTAGCGACACGGAGGCCCCCAGTGGGAGAGCACCCGACACGACACAGGCCATGTGGATGCTCGAGTGCTGCGGGCCTCACACCTGCCAGTGCAGCTCCCTGAGGAGGAGAGTAGTTAAACACAAAGGGCCTGAGCAACAAATCAGGTGACAGACTCCAGCTTCCCACTTGTATCGAAGATGTCTGTTAGGAGGGGACACAGCCCCCAGCCAATGCCACCAAACAGTGCTGAGGGTGGTGCAGGCTCTCAATTCCGGTGAGGCCAGATGAGCTCAGATTCCACCGGCCAGGCTGCAGGGCTCCAAGGGTCACCTTGCTTGCTTTGAGCTTTACAGAGGGAGAGACTGCCCACTGCTCACTTCATACTTCATGTGAGGTGAGATGGACAGATGCACCTGTCCTAGGGCGGTGCTCACAAGCTGGAATACACAAACAGGGAGAGGCTCCTAGAGCTTTAAATAAAACATACAGATTAGAAGGCAAAGAAAAAGTGAAGTCACTTTTTGATGTTTTTCCAAATGATCTCAGATCAAAGGATCTCAACTTTATTAGTGATTTCCCCCATGAAACCCTATGCATATAAAGTAGTTCTTTAAAGAACTCTTAAGACTGTGATCTGGAGATCACACTGATAAGATATATGTTAAAATTAAAATAAATGAGAAAGAAAGATGAACAAATAAATAGAAGGTATATTGCCGAACTGAAAGCAAATGTCCTGTAAACTTGCTGTTATTGTTTCCCTAAAATACTTTATACATTTAAAGTAGTGCCTATTAAAATTCAGGTGAGCCTCATTTTTCTAGGTAATTGACTACATCATTCTAAATTTCACCTGGAAAAATAAAAAAAAAGACTGAGGGCCAGGGATTTGGCTCATTGGTTCCACTGCCTGCCTTGCAAGTGCAAGGTCCCGAGTTAGATCCCTGGTACCAAAAACAAAAACAAAAAACAAGACTGAGAATACATTTAGTGAGAAAGCGAAGTTCTACCATAAAACTGTATGAACCAATGACAGTGTTGCTGAGCATAAGAGGCAGAGCAAGGGAACAGAAGCCACAGCTCCTGTACCAACATTCACTTCCACACAAATGTGACTCATGATAAAGAATGAATCTCAGAGACACTGCAGTAGGAAGACTTGATGAACAAAACCTCAGACGCACATGAACTAGTGCAAAGAATCAACAACTGGGACCTCATCTTGCTAAAAAGCTTCTGCACACCAAGAGAAACCACCAACAGAGTGAAGAGACAACCCAGAGTGGGAAACAGTTTTACCAGCTGTTCCTCAGACAAAGGCCTACTATCTAGAATATATAAAGAACTTAAAAAAAATCAGACCCCCCCCAAATTTAATCCAAAAATGGGCATCTGAAATGAACAAATATTTCTCAGACTAAGAAGTAGAAATAACAAATATACGTGAAAAAATGTTCAACATCACTGGTCATTTGAGAGATGCAGATGAAAACAATGCTGAGATTCCATCTCACCCCAGAAAGGATGGCTGTTATCAAGAATTCAACTAATAACAAATGCTGGTGGGGCTGTGGGGAAAAAGGAGCCCTTCTCCATTGTTGGTGGGAGTGCAGACTGATGCAAGCACTGCGGAAATGAGTGTGAGGTTCCTCAAAGAACTAGGATCAGAGGTCCTATTTGACCCACCTATTCACCTGCTGGGTGTCTTCCCAAAATAATGAAAAGAATCACATCACAGCCCAATTGCCCATCAACTGGTGACTTGATAAAGATGTGTTTTTACACACACAATGGAGTACTACTCAGCCATAAAGAATGGGAAACGAGATATTTATAGCTAAATGGATGCACACAGAGGCCGTACTCTTCTTCATCTTTTTGTTGTTGTTGTTCTGGGGCTTGAACTCGGGATCTTGCACTTTGTTGAGGCAGGTGGCAGAACCACTGAGCTAAATCCCCAGCCCTGTAAGGCCATACTTTTAAGTGAAATAAATAGGACACACATGTGTAAATACTGAATAGTTTCTCTGGTGTGAAAAACTGAAAGTGTAAATGAGGACCAAAATGTTTAACAGATGAAGTGAAACAGGAAGAAAGGTCCAAAGGGAAAGGGGTAGGGGCAAGGAAAAAATGTGAGAAAAGGGAAAAATAGAAACCAAGTCTGTGTAAATAGGGAGGGGTGGAGGGGTTGAAGGGTGGACAGGAGAACAGGGAAAAAAAATAACAAGATACATCATGTGAAGGTTCAAGTTCCAAGGATGAATGTCATCATATTGTATATCTGAAATGTGCCAATAAACATAATGAATATTAATAAAAAGAAAAAAAAAAGAATCTCAGTGGAAAAGCTGAAGAAGGAGATAATGGCCAGGTCTTGGGGTAGACAACTGTAACTTACAGGTGTGGGGGGCAAGTGAAGTCTTTTTACCTCACACTAAAATAAAACTGGAGATGTATTAAATAGATAAATAAGAAACACAGCACAACCAATCCCCTAAGTCCCCTCAGCCTTTAGAGGAAAAGGTAAGTGAGTATCAATTCTCAAGCTAGAAAAGGACAATGAAAGACACCAAACTCCTAAGGGATACTGCTCACATTAAAAAAAATCACAAATTTCTGTATGTTCCCTCCAAAAACCAAAGAAAATGTAAATGCTATAAACACAAGGGCTGGAGATTTAGCTCAGTGGTTCTGTTGCCTGCTTCGCAAGCACAAGGTCCCGAGTTCAATCCCCAGTACCAAAAAACAAAACAAAACAGATATATAAACACAAGACCTTAACGTTACTGTAACTAGAAAAACATTAAGGTCTTGGTTTCTAAATGATCCAGTTCACAAAAGAACTGAAAACAATTAATAACTATGTGAAAAAGTGTTTTCCACCAGTCAGATCAACAGTATTTCTTAGGTGATAATCAACACTGCCAAAAGTGTGAGGGAGCCCTGTCTGGTCCTTCAGTCATTGGGCAGATTCTGTGCCTAAGTCATCTTACTTCTTGGAATCCATTATGGAAATGTAACAGTAATAAGGGAGCATCACTTTTGAAAAATGTTTACTGTATTGCAGGCACGTGTAGTCCCAGCTATTCAAGAGGCTGAGGCAGGAGGATCTCAAGTTCGAGGCCAGGCTGGGGAACTCAGAGACACTGTCTGACAATAAAAAGGGCTGGGAGTTGTGCTCCAGTTGTAGAGTAACCCTGGGTTTGATTCCAGCACCACAAACACGCACCCCACAAGCAAAAAAACCCAATTTAAATTGCGCTAAAATACAACATATAAAATCTACCATCCTAACCATTTTTAAGCATGCAGTTCAGTGGCAGTAATTACATTCATATCCCTGCTTTTAATTCTTTTTGGGCATATACCCATTAATAGAATTGCTGGATCTTATGATAATTCCATTTTCAACTTTTTAAAGAACAGCCATAAAGTTTAACAGTGGTTGTCCCATTTTACATTCCTCTCAACAGTGCAGAGTTCCAATTTCTCCACACCCCCAACAGCACTTCCTACTTCCTATTTT